CCCATGGTGGCTAGGGATGGGCTTGCTAGCCGTATAAAAGGCTTGAGTGGTTTCCGCCCAAGTTGGAGGACTCCATGAACAAGGGAGGAGGAGACTTCACGCTGTGTGAAGATCTCTAAGCGCTGCGGATCCTTACGGACCCAGCGCATTTCAAGCAGGCAACAGAGGTCTGATCAACCTCTAGCCTCTCCCCGTCGCCGATAGATCCCCAGACGTATCCCTTCCCGCGCGCAAGAGAACCGGACCCATGGAGCCTAGCAAACTTCGTGTGAATCCTTGACCGACCTCAGAGCTCTTCTACCCGGGTTCGAGTCCTGCAGGTTTATTTTCCCGTCGCCGAAACCCTTTGCGACGTACCCTCGTATTTTCATCTTCCCGTCGCTGGAACCCTATGCGACGTACCCTCGTACCCTGCAGGTTCGAGTTTTGTTTTCTTTCCTGTCTGTAACCGCAACTTAAGCAAGTTTTCAGCCTGCACCATTGCCATCTCGGTGTAAGTAAACAATCTTTTAAACTACCGATACGCGTCTGTGCCTAATTCCAGTTCAAAGGCCTTCCCTCTCCAACCCGGCGTGCCCGGGCTGCTGGCCACAGCCCGTGTGCAGCGCGAAAAGGGCTCGGGTCGCTCCCGGCCCGCACAGACAGCACTTGTCAAATTAGCACATTTCAGAAAGAGGGGAAGACTCATGCCACCATCTCCATGGCCCACCTGAAGACTTAGGTGGTTTGACAGTTCCCTGCTAACAATCTGCCTTGAATTTCCAGTCTTCTTTTTTAAACTGGGTCTGTGACTGTCTCACTCAAGATCCTTAAAGTCATTTCTGGGCCAACCAGTGATAACAGTCACCTTGCTTTTAAAAAAGGAAGCTGCAGCACTGTCTTTCCAGAAGTTAATCATGAGACTTGCTTTGAAAAACGTATATATTAATGGTTTTGATTTTTTTTAACTCTTCTGCCCACCCACTACTGTTGGCTTTGAATTTTTTTTTTAACACTCCTGCCCACCCACCCAGAGTGTGTGCGTGCATGTGTGTTGCCCATAGTCTGAAAGATAATGCATAAGATTATTCTGGCCTTCATTGGAGGAGCTCTTATTAACTGTCTCATGGTGTGGAGCATCCAGCTTCCCTCGAGATCCTGACATTCCAATTACCATATTTCACAGTGTATAAATTGAGTTTTGAAGTCAAATTTTAAGCTCTTAAAATTCAACCTTGACTTATACACCATACCCTGTGAGCGGTGCTGCCTTGAGCTCCCTGGGTGCTTGGGTAGCATGCAGCTCACTGGCAGCCTGCCCACCTAGCTGGTCCCAGAAGGTGCCACTGTGGCGAAGGGAAGGACTGCCCCCTCCAGCCCCTGCTCGACCTGCAGATAGCTTGCCCGCTGGCCCTGTGGCAGTCAGGATGGCTCTGCAACAGGAAGGATTGGGCCCCTTGCCACTTCTGCTTGAAAGCAGGCTCTTGCAGCCAGCAGGACATCTGGTGCTGCCCAGGAAAGGACTGGCTTGCCCCATGTGCAGTGTGGGGTATCATGCAGGGGTGGAGGGAGGCTATGGATGTCAGGCAGGGCCAGCCTTCCCCTCAGCCCAACACCCCGTGCTGCACCAGGGGCAGGCCAGCCCCTTCCTGGGCAGCGCCAGGTGTCCTGCTGGCCGCAGGAGCCTGCTGAAGTCAGAAGTGGCGAGGGGCCTGATTCTGCTTTTGGCAGAGTATCCCTGCATGCCCCGCAGCTGGGGGGTGAGTTGGGGGGCAGTCCTTCCCTCTGTGACAGTGGCACCCCCCCCAGGGCCAGCCAGGTGGGATGCCAGTGCCCAAGCTCTTAGGGGCTAAATTCAACTTCCCAGGAGCCCGCCAGCACACCACCTTTCCTACCAGCTCACCTGGGCTTCCAGCGCCGTGCACACTGAGGCAGGGTCAACTTATACAACAGAGTTACAAAAATTCTAACTTTTTTGTACAGAAATATGCGTTCGACTTATACACTGTGTCGACCTATACACAGAAAATATGGTACAGGTGTGTTTTCACTCTCTCCCACAAAGAAATCTGCACCCCCATATCAGTTCTGCTCTCCTCAGCCTCCTCTCTGTTTCCCCACAGTATTTAAGCTCTTCATTCTGTGTCCCAGGCCTAGAAGAAGGTTTTCAACAGGGTCATCTTTCACCTCTCAAGCCTAGTGGCAGGGGTAGCTGCTGCTCAAATGCATTTTTACCTATTTGTCTTGTTTTCATGGATGGGAGAAGGAGAAGCAGACTGACCCATGATTCACAGGAGGGTCAAAGGGAGTGATGCCACCCTGAGCTTTTCCTTCCTACTGTTTTTCCCTCCTCTTCTCTATCTAGACATGTCTCAGGCACCTGATGAAGATGGACAGCTTGGCTTACCTCTTGCAGCTGATCCAATTGGTTTCTCTTCCTCCAAAAGGTAGGAAAGTGGGGATAGCAGCTGATGAGGGGGGGTTCTCCCAAATAGTTGTGAAGTTCAGCAGAAGGCTTGAATTCCCATTGTTCTTACAAGACTGACTCCATTGCCTGCTAAAATCTTCAACTTGTGAAGAATCACAAGGGTTGCTAACATGGTGTTGACACTACCCTCTCTTTTTCACTCTGTAGTGATAGACTAAAACTCAATTTTGCTTTAATAGCGATAGCAATCAGATACAAATTCCTAGTTGCCATGCAGAATTTTAGTATTTTCCTTATAATTACTTCAGAATTTTAACAGAAGTTAAATAAGTTGGTAGGACACCAGGACGACATTTGAGTATAAAGATAAGCACAACCCACTGTTTTACAGGATGTGAGGTCTAATTTCATATTTCTATATGATCTTGTGAAGGAAGTCATCATGGTCTCAGCCCTGCCACAGATTTATCTGCCATGTGACTGAAAGCAGAAGCTAGCCTTGGTATTTTTTAAAGTAATTTTACAATGGTCATTGTTCTCAAGATCTAAGGTGGCTTTAAACTTCTTAGAACCAGGCAGTTTAGCTGGGTGTCTAGCTTTATAAGTCTCATTTAGGCCTAACACCTATTCCAGGGAAAATCCTGGAAAAATTCATTAAGGAGTCTATGTGCAATAGAGTTGCAGAAGGTAAGATTCTGAATGCCAGCCAATATGGCTTCATCATGGGCAGGTCTTGTCTTACCAACCTCATCTCCTTTTATGAGCAGGTGACTTACCACCTGGATAAGAGAGAGGAGGTTCACATTATATACCTAGACTTCCAAACAGCTTTCGATCTGGTATCCCACGATATTCTCATGAGAAAATTGGAAGACTGTGGGCTTGACTGCGAGATAGTCAGGTGAGTAGGAAACTGGCTGCAGGGCAGGACCCAGAGAGTTCTAATAAATGGATCTGTGTCATCTTGGTGGGAAGTGGCCAGTGGTGTCCTGCAGGGGTTGGTGCTTGGTCCAGTGCTATTCAACATCTCCATCAATGCTATGGATGTGGGGGGGAAGAGCTCACTGGCCAAGTTCATGGACGACACCAAGTTATGGGGAAGCGTGGTCATGCTTGAAGATAGGCTGCAGATACAGGTGGACCTAGATAGGCTTGCAAGTTGGACTGACCGGAACCAGATGAAGTTCAACGTTGAGAAATATAAAGTGCTCCACCTGGGGATGAACAATCCCCTGCAAACCTACAGGCTTGTCAAAGCCAACATGACCAGCACTACGAATGAAAGGGACCTGGGGGTAATAACTGATCATAGTATGAACATGAGCTGGCAGTGCACTGCTGTAGCCAGCAGGGCTAACAACACCCTGGTATGCATCAATCAATACATCTCTAGCAAAACCAAAGAAGTGATTCTCCCGCTACTTGCCATTGGTGAGACTGCAGCTGGAGTACTGCATCCAGTTCTGGACACCACACTTTAACAAGAATGTGGTAAAGCTTGAGAAAGTCCAGAGAAGAGCCACCTGTATGATCAGAGATGTGCACGGAAAGCCATATGAGGAAAGGCTGAAGGATCTGGGACTATTCAGCCTGAAAAAGAGAAGGCTGAGAGGGGACTTGGTAGCAGCTTACCACTACATCAGAGGCGTACGTCAAGGACTCGGTGAACAACTGTTCACCAGGGCACTCTTGGGGAAAACTAGGAGTAATGGTCACAAACTCCTGGAAGACCGTTTCAGGCTCAACATTAGGAAAAACTAGTTCACAACTCAAGTTTCCAGACTGAAATAAGCTCCTTCCAGAGGTGGTATAATCACCTACCCTGGATATCTTCAAGAGGAAACTGGACAGTCACCTTGCTGGGGTCACCTGACCCCAGTTGTCTTTCCTGCTTGGTGCAGGGAGCTGGACCCAATGATCTTCTGAGGTCCCTTCCAGCCCCTTACAGTCTATGAATATATGTATAAGGTTTGAAAAAAAAATGAAAAAACAACTGTGAACTATTTGGGGCCCTGTTTGGTGATGTTTGGCAGACATTTAAGGCTGGTGAACAGGAATTGTTGGAAATGGGAAAGAAAGGTGCAGCTCACCTGTGAGAGTGAAGAGGAAGTCAAAATGTATTCAGTACTATTCAATGTAGTGGCTCACCATGAATGAAAAGAGTCAGCGCTGAGGGGGAACTGTGCTTAATCAGCACTGTGGTATATTCTATTCAGATGGGTTGCTAGTAGGGGAGATACCATGATGATGGTTTTGTCCCAGGTGGTTTTACTGATCTGGCATGGGAGTTACCCTTGTTGGCCTTGAATGACTCAGTGCAGTTGAGGGCGAATGTCTGTCCCTTGCACTGAGGGCAGGCTGACCCCTGCTAGAGTCTACTAACACCTACCAATGGGAGGATCTTGGGTATACAATTTATGGTGATGGGATATTGCTCTCAGGCTTCTAGCTTGTTCCTTGAGCCTTTTACCTAGGGGGTATTTGAACTCTGAGGCCTCCGGGCTTGGGGCTTGAACATAGGATGCCTACCATGGATTTGGGAATATCTGAAGCCCCAGGATGAAGAATCTGGGAAGTAGGATACTTGCCAGTGGTAACACCACACAAACTTGAACGATTGAGCTCTGCTCAGTTGATTGAATTTGGAACTGATTTGGCTGATTCACCTCAAGGCATGAAATTTAAAAAATAATTGATAGGCATCTCAGCTATTTTGGCTAAGATCTTATGCTAAGATGCAGCATTTTTGGCACCAGAGGGAGGGTGTTGTGGGGCTGGCTCTGGCCCTCCCAGTGCCAGTCTAGTATTGCAGTACCCCCAGGCCTGATGCCAGTTCCCAGCTCAGGCTGAGGTACTTCCATGCATATCCGTTTCATCTGAGAGAGAAGGATGTGTTTCAGAAGGGATCAAATCTGAGTCTGTCTGGCTGAGATCTTCTATGTGATCTTCTATGTGAAACAGTCACCGTTGGAGCTGTTTTCTTCTTCCCGGTTATTTATAGCCACTTGTCTGTAATGTGTAGAAAGAGTAACTGTGATGTTATGGGACACTTTAGCTTGGAAGACATACCATAGATTTCATGCAGATCTCACCTCTAACACAAATCATACCCAGCACAGGGGAAACTTTGTTTTGGATCTCATTATTATGGATAAAGATATATAATAGTACTAGAGGAAGCAGCTGGTCATTGAATAGACCAGGGCTGCTCAACCCCTGGCTCATGGGCCAGTTTTGGCCCATGGTGCCATGTTGTCAGCCTGTAAGGCTCCCCATGGGTCCAAAAATTTGGCAGAATGCAAGTGGTGCCACTGCTTCCTTGCTGTCAAATTTCCAGACCTGTGGGGAGACCTGCAGGCTGGAGATTTGGGTCCTGTGCATGGAGGAGGTGCAGGGCCCTGGGAGATGTTCCCGGCATGAGGCCCTGATCCCCAGATTCTAGTACAGAGGACCAGGCAGGGACAGTACAGACTCTAAGGACCAATCCCAGCATGTGGCACCAGGTGGGCTGGTGTGGGGCCAATCCTGGTGCAAGGGGGCAGTACAGGGCCTTGGGACTTGATCTTGGCATGCAGGAGTGGTACCAGGCCCCAGAGCCCAATCCTAGCATGCAGAGAAATCTCAATTACATAGTATACAATGCATCAAAAAAAGCTAGTTTACAAAGCTCAGAAAAATTTGTGACCAAAATAGACAGGGAGGCAAAACTTAGAGAATGAATGATAATTGGGACTTCTTTAAGAAGGCAAAAAGCCTATTATCACATTAAATAGAGGGGACAACTTTTACTAAAGGCCATTGATGAGAGTGGCAAAATAAGGCAACAACTAGAAGAGTTTATGCATAAAAGGGGAACCATTCTAACTTATGTTGATTGCTTGCTTAGGAAAATGAAAGACAGGGAAGAATCCATGGCTGGCAGAGCTAAGGGCAATAAGGATAGCAAAAGTGGAGGAACAGCAACTTCTTGCAATGGCATAGGCCCATTCCTAGATAGAGATGGGAATTTTTGTTACAATGCAAATAGAATCAATAATTATTCCTTTTCTCTATTTGGAAAGAGGCATGGTGATGTACTGTTACCACTCGAGGCTCTTTAAGCATAGTCTGGTGTATTAATAACTGAACGGGGTATTAACGTCTACGAGGAAGCAGTAGTTAAAATAGTTGCTCTGGCTAACTTGCATCCAAAAGTCCTTAGAATTGGTTGAGGAGTTCCCTGCCCTGTTGATGTTCATTTTAATTAACCTTGGAATACCAGGGCCAGCCTAGAAGACTGAAAGAGTGCTAATGTATGTATTTATTTGATTTATATCCTACTCTATCCAAAAGGCACACTGCTGGGCTGACATTACAAAAGACAAGTGGGTTGACCTGGTTCGCTGCAAGTAAGTGATTTATCAACTGCAGGCGAAAATAACAGAAAACCTAATGTGGGATAATATCAAAACAGAATTAAAGGGTAGGAATTTAATTAATGCCAATCAATACAGTTTAATGGAAAACAGGTTTTTGTTAAACAAACCTAATTTAATTCCATGAGGAGTTGATGAGTTTGAGTAATAAAGGGTAGTGCAAACATGTAAAGTACTTGGATTTTTGTAAGGCATTTGATTTAGCACTGCAAGGCAGTTTGATTAAAAATTAGCATTCCACAATGAAGCACCCATTAAATTGATTAAGCACTGGCTAATTGACATCTCAAAGAATAACTGTCAGTGGCTAATGATCATCAAGTGGCATATGTTTCCCCGTGAGATTTCCCAGGGGCCTGAAGCTTCTGAATATTTTTGTCAATTATCTCAAAGTGAACATATAATCATGAATGATACATTTTGCAGCTGTAACAGAGCTTGGTGGAATGGCAAGGAATACAGAGGTCCAGGATGCAAGTGGGTCACTTATACCACTTCCTGATACAGGGGAGTTGGAGCTCACCCCCAGTCAGTTTATTTTACACAGAGTGACAGCAATCAAGCCAGCCAGCTGGCAAGTAAGACGGCTGTTTTCCTTCAGAACTTGAGAGTAACGCTGGCTCTCTCAGCACCACAACCTCCTTGCCTTCTGCTTCAGGAGCTCCTAACCCTCTTTGTAGCTCCACCTTCATTACCTGGTCATCAGTTTCAGCTGGTTCCCAGGCTTCAAGCCAGGCAGATTATTAGCTGCTGATCACCTCTAGCTGGTTTCAAGCCCCTGAAGGCTAAACATCTCCTTCCAGGGGAGTTGTATCTTGGTAAGTTGGGCCCATTCAAACAGAATGCATTTCAATGTAGTCAGAGTTATATATCCAAGAACAAGGAATTCAGGCCATACTTGCTAAATGGGGGACTGTGTCATGGAAGACAATGACTGATTTAGAGGTCATGTTGGACAAACAAGTGAACATGAGCTTGCGGTATAATCCTGTGGCAAAAAGGGCTTATGTGATCCTTGGATGGATAAAGAAAGGAGCAGGGAGGTGATTGTACCTCTATACACAGTGGGCACATATACAGGGCTGGCTGTACCAATTAGGGATGTAAATGATTAATTAAATACCGGTTTAAACTCTCCTAATGTTATGGGTTAAACAATTAACAAATAACATGCATCTACCAGGGACCCGCCTGTAGTTACTCATTCTCCAGGCAGTAGCAGTGGTCTGGGAAAGCTGCTCACTCCCTGCTGCCGCCTGTGGCTTTATGAGGCTGTAGCAGGGCTCATTGCTGCTGTTGCTGCCTGCAGCCAGCCCTGGCCCCCAGGAGTCCTATATCTGTAGCAGTGGGTTGGAAAAGTCCCTTGCCTATTGCTGCTGCCAATGCAGGGCTGCCTGGGGGCCAGGGCTGGCTGCAGGCAGCAGCAGGAAGCCCCATCACAGTCCCTGTGAAGCCACGGAAAGCCCCTCCACCCACTGCTGCTGCTGGCACGTGGCTGCCCAGAGGCCAGGGCTGCAAGCAGCTGCACCAAGGCCCACGGAGCCAGTGGCAAGTGCAGGCGCACTTCTTGGTGGATGGTGGGGGAGCCGCAAGGGGCGTAGTCCTTCTTGTGGCAGTATAGCCCCTGCCTCTTCCCCACCATCCACCCTGAGGTGTGCGTGCAACTGCTGCTAGCAATGAGCTGGGTTGGGCTCCCTGGTGTAGCTTCTTGCAGCCTCCTCACCACCTGCTGCTAGCAGTCTGGGTGCTCTGGCTGGCAGCAGGGGCCTGCCTAGGACCCAGGCTGGCCACCGCAGGCAGTAGGGAGGCTACAAGCAACTGCATTGGTCTGTGAAGCCCCAACCTGGCTCACTGCTAGTGGCAGGTGCAAATAGTGGGGGGGAGGGGCAGGCAGGACTGAGGGGATGGACTGAGGGATGAGCTGATGAAAGAACCAGTCAGAGAGCTTTTGATGGGCCTGAATGAACCCAAGTCAGCAAGGCCTGATGAACTTCATCCCAGGATACTGATGAAACTGGTAGAGATCTCAGAGCCATTGGCAATAATATTTACAAACTTATGGGAGATGAGAGAGGTTCAAGAAGACTGGAAAAGAGCCAACATAGTTAAAAAAATGAAAAGGAAGATCCAGGAAACTAAAGACTGGTTAGCCTCACCTCAATACCCAGGAAGTTACTAGAGCATATTGTAAGGAAGTCCATTTGCAAGCATCTGTAGAAAGAAAGGCTGATCATGAGCAGCCAGCATGGATGTACAAATCATAGTTGTTTCATAGTTGGTAGGGTCGGAAGGGACCTGAGCAGATCATCAAGTCCGACCCCCTGCCATGGGCAGGAAAGGATGCTGGGGTCAAATGACCCTGACTAGGTGATTATCTAGCCTCCTTTTGAAGACCCCCAGGGTAGGAGCCAGCACCACTTCCCTTGGAAGTTGGGTCCAGCTCCTAACCGCCCTGATTGTGCAGTAGCGCCTCCTGATGTCTAGCCTGAACCTACTCTCAGTCACCTTGTGGTCATTATTCCTAGTTACTCCTGGTAGTGCTCGGGGGAACAGGGACTCTCCCGTTCCCTGCTGGTCCCCCCTGGTAAGTTTATAGACGGCCACCAGATCCCCTCTCAGCCTTCTTTTGTGGAGGCTGAACAGGTTCAGGTCCTGTAGCCTCCCCTCATAAGGCCTGCCCTGCTGCCCCCTGACCATGCAAGTGGCCCTCCTCTGGACCCTCTCAATGCTGTCCACATCCCTCCTGAAGTGCGGCACCCAGAACTGGATGCAGTACTCCAACTGTGGCCTGACCAGTGCTGCATAGAGGGGGAGGATCACCTCCTTGGACCTGCTCACGATGCACCTGTGGATGCATGACAAGGTGCGGTTAGCCTTACTGACTGTGTCCTCACATTAGCTGCCCATGTTCATCTTGGAATCAATAATGACTCCAAGATCCTTTTCTGCCTCTGTGCTGACAAGAAGGGAGTTACCCAGCCTGTAGGTATGCTGCTGGTTCTTCCTCCCCAGGTGCAGTACCTTGCACTTGACAGTATTGAATCCCATCCTATTCTCATCTTCCCACCCCTGTAACCTGTCCAGATCTAGTTGCAGTCTGTCCCTCTCTTCTAGCGTGCCCACTTCTCCCCACATCTTAGTGTCATCTGCAAATTTGAACAAGGTGCTTTTCAACCCCTTGACCAAGTCGCTGATGATGTTAAACAGTGCGGGCCTGAGGAGCAATCCCTGGGGGACCCCACTGCCCACATCCCTCCAGGTCAAAAATGACCCATCCCCCACCACTCTCTGGGTGCAACCCTCCAGCCAATTTGCAACCCATCTGACTGTGTAGGCACTGATGCCACAGTTGCCTAATTTTTTTATGAGAGTGTGGTGAGAGACAGTGTCGAAGGCCTTCCTAAAGTCCAGAAAGACTACGTCCACTGCGACACCTGCGTCTAAAGATTTTGTGACTTGGTCATAGAAGGCAACCAGGTTGGTCTGACAGGACCTGCCCCTAATGAACCCATGTTGGTTGACCCTAAGTATAATCTCTCCTGCTGGTCCCCCGCAGATGTGCTCCTGGATAATTTTCTCAAAGAGCTTCCCTGA